ACTTTTCAGAACTTCAGTCATGCATTGTACATTTGAAGTACACTTTGCACCCTTTTAATAAAGATAATACTGGTCAAAATTCGGCTGACCGAATTCTGACCAAGCTGAATGGTATTATATGGTTACAGTATTATTTGGTTACTTTTAGCATTAAGTTAGGTCTTTTCATAGAGACACTATAGCCACCAAAACAACTTCAGTTTAATGAAACAGGTTTTGTGTATAGATCATGCCTCTGAAGTCTCACTGTTCAATAATCTGCCATTTTACGAGTTAAATCACTTTTGTTTCTGTTTATACAGCCTTAGCCACAACTCCCCTGGCTGTGACAGACATTAAAATTTATTTATTTTTTTCTAATCAGATGTAACTTACTTTAAAAGATTGTATCTCCTGCTCTGTATATTGAACTTTAATGACATAGGAGGCTCCTCCATGGTCTGTATTACAACAGCAGGAGATAAGAAATACTGAAACAGAATTGCAAAAAAGGAAGTATAAACATTAGATGACTCTTTACAGGAAGTGTTTAGGAAGGCTGTGTAAGTCACATGTAGGGAGGTGTGACTAGGGCTGATAAACAAAGTGAGTTAAAGGGACACTGTAGGCACCCAGACCACTTCAGCTAATTGAAGTAGTCTGGGTGCTGTGACCCATTTGCACTTAGTGCTTCAATGTAAAACATTGCAGTTCCAGAAAACTGTAATGATTACATTGCAGCTCTAAGTCTGCCTTCAGTGGCTGTCAGCCACTGGAGGCGCTTCCGGGAATCCAAAACTTCTGGTCCATTATCTGATGCTGTACATCCTCATGGACCTCCAGTGTCAGATTTTCCCCATAGGAAAGCATTAAATACATGTCGGCGTTGGCGGAGCCTGACCCAGTGCCCAGGGACATCTGCGCTGGATTCAGGTAAGTGGATGACAGGGTTTTAACCCCTTCAGCCCCACCGGAGAGGGGAGTACAGGGGGGGGGGGAGCTATTATCCCTATGGTGCTAGTGAAACGGCTTTGTTTTCCTGGCACTATAGGATTACTTTAACGCCTAAATGGCAGCGAATTGAGCAGTGAGAATGCAGGAGTATGATCTATACTCCAAAACTGCTTCATTAAGTTGTTTTGGTGACTATAGTGTCCCTTTAAGCTTTCATTCCAGCTGATGTACCATGTTTTTTTCTTTACTATTTCTTTATTTAATTTAGTAACAGATTGGGCATATTTTTTAGGGGTGCAAGAGGTGGAACTATGAATCACAAAACATTCAAGCTAATTCTTCCATTGCCCATTTCAGTTGTTTTGTGATTTATTCATATGCAGATTCAGATTTAAGGAATTCGGACTAGCTGCGGATCAGCCAAAATTTGGACAAATCTATTTTCAAAGGTTTTTGGATCATGCAACGTATTTTTTTCCATGGAATTGTGTTCCAGAGTTATGCCAGCTATTACATTTCTGGTATATATTTTCCAACCTTGTTTGGGAGATGGGCTCTAGTAAATTTACTTGGGTGCATATTGGGTGTAATTTACTGTGGATTGCAATGAGGTTGGCATGGTATGTAAGTTTTGTTTAATAGATATACCGAGGGTATAGTTTAATTTAGAAATAATAGCAAATGACTGCCAATAAGGGTTTATATCAATGAAATACATATTATATTATAAGTGTCTGAAATGTTCTAAGCTTCTTTTCTGTATATTTTCCTGGATAAATACGCACTCTACATTGCATCATTACTGTTATAGTACTAAAAGAAGTTAAATTGGTATTCAAGATAGAATTGGGCAATCTGTATCTTTAATGAGAAAAAGCAAGGCTCCAAAGGATTAATATGTTATTAAGTTCTGTATATCAATTCAGTGAGCACATTTTCTTTTTATTCCACTGCACACACAAAATTCATCATATTCAGGCCAATGTAAAGTACATGCCTCATGGAAGAGAACAAAGCACTGTGCACGGTTAGAACGCAGCCCTTGGGCTCCAATTTACTAAAATGGATTAAATATACTATTTATTCAGTACTTCTTTGATCGTAGAATATCCAATTTCCATCCTTTTTTTTTCTTCTTTTGAACTTTGAATACAGATTTTTAAAATGACTGATATTTCATATATGGATGAAATTAAAGAAGAAAAAAATATGTGATAAGGTAGCAATGTGTTACAGTTTAAACAATGCTTATTTGTAAATTATTTACAAGCCATCAGGATAAAATTGGGTTATAGTAGGGGTTGGGGCTTGACTTTCATCTTATGCTGCAGTTTATTAGCAACGACTGTCAGCTACAGTGCCCTCATTTAAAATGGTTAACATTATAAAATGGCCACCTCTTTTCTTCTGTCCTAATTTAAGCACAACTTGGATGTCATGACACAGCTGTGGTCTATACACCCCATAGAGCAGGAGTAGGCAACCTTCAGCATCTCCTGTAATGCTCTTTTAGCCAAAATTCTGCCAAAGCATCAAAAGAGATGTAGTCCACAACATCTGGAGCTGATGCATTTTGTTTGCTACTATTCAGAAGGGGCACACAGAGGGGATGGGAATAGAAAGAGACACACAAAGGGGCTGGGGAAGAGACACGCAGAGGGGCTGGGAGAAGAAAGAGACACAAAAAGTTGGCAATTTTTTGGGGGGGGTTTGGGTGCGGGCTGCAAGTAACTGGTCTTGCCTCGGGTTCAAAATAGTCTTGCACCAGCCCTACAGACACACATATATTGTTACTGATGTACACACTCACTGACACATATGCACTGACACACATATTCTTACAATCACACACTCCGACACTAATAGAGAGACACAAACACACTTTCGTGGTTAGTCACTTTTAATACTTTTAAACATTTTTGACAATTTCAAATGGCTGCCAAACTAAAAGCCTGATAGACTAGTGGAAGTGGCCAAGCATAAGAGCATGGATAGAGCACAAGTAATTTACAAAGATTTCCATTTTACAAAAATATTTAAGATTTTGCAGCATTGGTTATATGTCAGGAATGGAGGTACATTAAATGCAAACTTACAGGAAACACTAAAGGAACACATACCGGTATTTAGAGTGGTCTGGCTAGTGCATAAGACAGATTAATGAAATGGCTGCAAGCAGCAGAGAATAAACGAGAGACAGGTCAAAGTCTAGGATAACAGAGGTACACAGAATTGTTAGCCAGGTCAAAGTCAGGATGACAGAGAGCAAGAATGGTCAAACAAGCTGAGGTGAGAAAACAGTAAACGCTCAGATAACAAGAATCACAACAGGGCAAGGAAACAAGAACAACAAGGAAGTATTTATACCCTATACTGGGTTGTGATTGGTTCCACAGGGCCATGATGTTATAAGTGTTACAAGTGTAAACTGCCACATAGACTGATATGAAAGGAGACCAATGGAAACATTGCATGCCATATATGATGTCATAATAAAGCAAAATAAAATAGGGATGAGTGGGCGTGCATCAGAACACAGAAGCAATGTAATTTCTGTGATTACACGGCTCTGCAAGGGACAAGTATCGTGACAAATGTATTGACCAATATTGCAACAAGACCACAATATATATTGGCTTCATATTTAAAATGGCAGAGTACACATAGCTGTTTATCACCACCTTGGTAAAGATTTTCTATCAAGCAATTTTAATTTTAAATGATTAAAAAAAATACTCAATTAGTTACACTCACCAGTCAGTTTAACCACTTAGGGACATCGGGCATTCTATACCGTCCTTTTTTAGGCCGTCCTAAACGCCAGCGGGCAGCATAGAATGTCCCCACTGTCCTTTGTACTTACCCCGCCTTTCCCTAAGTGACCACTGTCGGGGGAACTTGTCCTCGCCGTTCCCCTGACGGTCGTCGCGATCCTGGGTTCTGCCTGGGAGCTCAGGCAGATCCCCTCATGCCTGTAAAAAAGTTTGTTAAAGTTAATAAAAGTTATAAAACAGTATTTAAATTAAATAAAAAGTACTTAGATTATATATATATATATATATATATATATATATATAATCTAAGTCCTTTTTTATGCACATACACATACATACATTATTAATAAAAGTGTATTTTAATATTAATATATATGTATATATATATATATAATTATATTAATATTAAAATATGCTGAGAATGACGTTCATTTTATATTTTTTTATATATATATACAAAAAAGTGGGTATCTTGGCACTCTTTCCAGATAACAATACATTTTCTGCCTGGGTGCAATCCCACGTTGAAAGGATATATAAACAAAATAAAGAGATGCACTCTCTGGGCTTGTAAAGTGAAAAATAGGATTTATTCCAATAGGTATTTACAAGGTCAATGTACCTACATACAAAAGTCATATATATAGGAAATAAAGTAGTGTAATCATCAATCGTGAAGAAACCCCTGATTCCCTTCGTGTGTACCCGGAAGTGAAAACCCGCTATCACGTGACATGCCGTGGCGAAAACGTGGTGACGTGTATATGTTGCTAAGTTACCAATAAACAAAAAGAATTTTATGATCAGTATATCCTATTTATGTGCATGGTTAGAATTAGGGATGAAAATGTGTTTAACATGTGAAATAAGTGAAAAAAATTGTGTCATCATTATGGCTGTGATAAAATCCCAATATATTACAAGTGAAAGAGGAAAAAAGAAAAATGCATGCACACATTTAACAAATGACTTTTGTATTTAAGTACATTGACCTTGAGAAAGACCCGAACGGGTCGAAAGTCGTTTTTTTTAATGTAAATACCTATTGTAATAAATCCTCTTTTTTCACTTTACAAGCCCTGAGAGTGCATCTCTTTATTTTGTTTATATATATATATCATCATCCAATCATTTTTTTGTATCTTGTGCCTGACCAGCACTGGGCAATTACTCTCTAATCCAGGAGTGCAAGCATCTCGGTTTTCTTATATATATATATAGTAGTGAAAATGACAGCACTCACGGTCTTCAAATAAAACTTCTTCTTTATTCAGCAAGATTAAAACATAGGGTCAACATTTCAGTCCCTCTCTGAGACTTTCATCAGGATCAATAAATATATGGTATTGATCCTGATGAAAGTCCCAGAGAGGGACTGAAACGTTGATCCTATGTTTTAATCTTGCTAAATAAAGAAGTTTTATTTGAAGACCGTGAGTGCTGCCATTTTTACTACTTTCCGAATATTAAAGCCCCAGGCTGAGCACCCGGCAGGTAGTTATGCATATAGCCTGAGTGCAAGGATTTCTTACAACAAAGTACTTTGATATTGGAAATACAGGAGTGCTGGCAATCGTTTGTTTCCTGTATCACAGTGTGGCTGAGCACCCGGTATCATTGGCTGGAGGTAGGAGTGCAAAAGTTCCTATATTTTATATATATATATATATATATATAAAAAATAGAGGGTATCCTTGAACTCCTTGTCTTGATCCTGAGGAAAGTTCCCATGAGGGACTGAAACGTAGATCATTTTAATATGAAATAATAAAGGAGAGAAGATTTTATTACAAGTGCGTGAGTGCAGCCACATTTGTTGCTTTTTTGCTTATATATATATATAACAAAATCTATAAATAAATTGAAAAAATATAAAAAAATCAATAAATTGAAAAAATGAAAAAAATAAAAATAAATACAAATATATATATATATATATATATATATATATATATATATATACCAATTTTTATTTATTCTAATTGTGTTTTGATATTAATATACTTATATATTAAATTCAAAATACATTTAGAATGACGTTATAAATACATATATGTATGTATCTATCTACCTACCTATATACATATATATTTAAATTCTACAAATATATTTATATAATATTTTTACATAATCAAGTCATTTTATTAATTACAATCTAGGGGACCTGCCGACAATCCAGGCAGAAAGTCCGGAGAATTTGGCTAGCAAGCCATATTTTTAACCCTGTAACTTTCCAGTACATCATAAAACCTGTACATGGTGTGTACTGTTTTACTCAGGAGACTTTGATGAACACAAATATTAGTGTTTAAAAACAGTAAAACATACCACAACGATGATATCGTCAGTAAAAATGCAATTTTTTGCATTCTTCACATGCAAACGGTACTTTCACAGATGTTATAATTGTTGTGATACATTTTACTATTTTGAAACACTAATATTTGTGTTCAGCGATGTCTCCCGAGTACAACAGTACTGAGTACTGAGTCAAATATAAGACTTGAATTTCCTTTTTTTCCACATTGCAATTTGCCAGACTGGTTATGTTGCCTTTGAGAACCTATGGTAGCCTAGGAATGCAAATTACCCCCATGATGGCATACCATTTGCAAAATTAGACAACCCAAGGTATTACAAATGGTGTATGTACAGTCTTTTCTTGTAGTCACTTAGTCACTAACACTGGCCAAAATTAGTGTTCAATTAATTTTTTTGCATTTTTCACACTCAAATATGAATCCTAACTTTGGCCAGTACTTGGGACTAAGTGGCTACTAGTCCCTAGTTCAGTCTGTCAAATTTCAGTGTGTATAAACTGAAAAATGTAATGTGCTATATTTGACTCTGTAACTTTCCAAAACACCATAAAACCTGTACATTGGGGGTACTGTTTTACCCGTGAGACATCGCTGAATACAAATATGTGTACTTTATTGCAGTAACAGCTAACGGTATTGTGACATTCACAGTTAAAATGCCATGCAGAACTAAATAAATAACAACATTTCTTAATTTCTTTTTTCTTATATATTTTATTCATATTAAATTATGTTTACTATACAAATATTTGATGTAACATTAAAGCCATGTTTCTCATGAACAAAATGATAGATAATAGGTGTCGGTGCACATAATATGAAAGAGGTTAATTACGTCTGAACAGACAAATAGCGCAAATTCAAGGTTTTGTTTACATTTTGTTTTGATCACAACTTGTACAATTGGCTCAGTCCTTAAGGGGTTAAAGATGCATGGCATGTGCTATCACAAAATAAAGGTTGCTGTCATTGTTATCAGTCCCTATTTAAAAACACATAAAAACCTTGTACAAGAGTTATCACTGTGTACTTACATTTAGTACATAATTCAGAACATCCAGGAACGTTGGAGAAAGCAGACCCATTTGAGGATGATTAATTTATAGTTACTGTTTTTTACAAGAAAATAGAGACTTATGCTGGTGATCGATTTTTTTTATTTTTTTATTACAACCATATGTGAGAAACAATTACCACATAGTTCCATGTTGTATTTTATGGCAATTTATACACTTATCTAACTGTTATGGAGGCATATGTCTTCCATTTCTACTACACCTGTAGTAGTTTATTAAATCATTAACAAAAATAACCTTTTTTGTTGTTTTTTTTTTAGTTTTAGTTTTTGTAGGTTTTCATATAATAAGATAATTCTTAGCTTTACACTGACATTGTCCTTGATGATAAATGCCCTTTGATAGCATGTGAACAATTAGTCTTAGTTATTTATATTAAGATTTTATATGATTTTAATAACCTTCACTGTGCCTTCTCTTCTGCAAGAAAAGTGATTCAGAAAATGAGAAGTGAATTACTGCTAATGCAAGATTAAGTGCATCCGTAAATAGTGCTTGGCGTAAAAGAATACAAAATAAGTGAAGCATTAAATTAGTCAACTAGGAGTACTGTATTATGAAATTTAACTTAGTGAAACTATGTTCGTATTTACAAAATCAGGCAATACATTGCTGGTGGAATGTGTTGCAAGCCTATACGAAATAAGCCAGAAAAAAATGTGTATTGTTATTATTCAAATTAACTAATAACATGTAACAAGTATGACATATTAAAATGCATTCAAAATATTACAGTGAATTTTACTTTGCTTTTAGGTGGCCCACATAGTAATTAATCTATTTATTTATGTATTTATTTTTTGGGGGTGGGGTTGGGGGTGGGAAGAGATGGCCACAAGATTAAGTTACTCTGCTTTCATCATTTCATTATGTTAATTCAGTTTAGATTTAAGATCAACAACCCACAGTTCCTTAAACGGAAACACACATCACTTGACAATTACCTTTTTTAATCAGCAAGCAAACATTTTTAAACAAATGTACAAACCAAAATAAATGTAAAAAAAATGCAAAATGTTGAAAAGTATGTAACAAATGTTTATAAACTAAATGTAAACATAGTCAGATTTCCTTATTGGGCACGCCTATCAGCTAGGAGAGTTTCCTTATCACCCACCCCCTTCTCAGTTTCAGACTGGTCCACTAATAACAGAAACAGGGCATCATTGTGCAGCAGCAGGAGAGAGAAACCTGACACTGGAAACTGCTCTGAATAAATCACACTGATTAGACTCTCTCTCTTCTTCCCCTGTCAGGATGTTCCAAAATAAAATATGTCTTCCTTTGGCAGGCATGCCCAATGCACTTTTCAGCATTCCCAGGAATAGTACACTGATTGGTTAGATCATTGTCCCTCCTGGATTGGGTTTGGAAAGCATAAGAAAGAAGAAGCAGGTAAATATGGGTAAAAAAAACACATGTACCTGTTTTTTCAGCCTGTATAGAAAGGCAACTGTCTTATGCAGAGTTAAAGCTTTTGAATGAGTCAGTTGTCTCAAAGTGATGCATGTTCTTTTAAGGAATTCCAGCATACTGCACGGTATTAGAAGAATATTTCAGCTGAGGCTGATATATAGAAAAGCCTTGTACACAGAAATAATCAAACTAGAATTCTACAAGTAACTACTTTATTCTGTGTATCTGCTGTGTAATTTGTGTCTGAGTGATTGTGTGTGTCTGTCAGTGTGTATCTGTGAGTGAGTGTGTGTATGTCTGTCAGTGTGTATCTGTGAGGGCGCCTGTGTGTCTGAGTGATTTTGTGTGTGTGTGTGTGTGTGTGTGTGTGTGTCTGCCTGTGAGTGTGTATGTCTCTCTGTCAGTGTGTGTCTGTGAGTGAGTATGTGTGTCTGTCAGTGAGTGTGTAGGTGTGTGTGTGTCTGAGTGATTATGTATGCCTGTCAGTGTGTGTGTATGTGTGTGTCTGTGAGTGTGTGTGTGTCAGTGAGTGTGTGTCTGCATCTTTGTGTATGTCAGTGATTGTGTGTGTCTGTCAGTGATTGTGTGTGTCTGTCAGATTGTGTCAAATCAGTGTGTGTATGTCAGTGTATCTGAGAGTGTGTACCTGTCAGTCAAAGTGTGTGTGTTTGTCTTTAACAGGAAGAGGTGTGGCATTGACAGGAAAGGATGGGGCAAATGTAAATTAAGGGGTGCCCGAGTTCCATCATGCCTAGAGCAGCACATCCAAAATACACCACTGCCCCCATGGTTCCCCTTTTCATTTCCTTGAAGAATTCCTTGCTTGTCTTCCACTTCCTCTCTTTAACATTTCATCGCTCATTCTTTGCGAGTTCAATGTGAACATCATGAAATCATTTCTGCTATTCTTTCCTGGTTTGAAAATCATAAGAATGAACATTGTTTGCCAAAATTCAGACATAACAAATTGCCCAAATACATGGCTAATACTGGAATGTCCTTTTTTTCTAATGCCTTCATCTAGCATTAGTAATGAGCAAGGAATAACATCATACCACTGCCTACTCAGCTGTTGCCTGGCTGATTGAATGTTCTTTATGGTCTGTAATATAATTAAATACTTTTTGTTTTATATAACCTGGGGTCTTAAATTTTTACTCTCCCTCCCTTTCCTCATCATTGCAGAAGCTCTCTCCTACCTTGTCTCTCCACAGCAGGCATCCCCTTACCTCTCCATTCCAGATCTCCTCTCATCTCCTCTTCCTTCTCCATTACAAATCACCTCCCCTTAACTCTCTATTACAGATTTTTAAGTGGAGTACTCTGGAAATGTATGAAGTTTAAACTGAAATATTTTTTCAATGCATTATTTTTCTATTTGATTACATAAGAAAACAGTTAAATAGACTGAGTTATTCCTACATTCCTAAGGAACAAATAGAAATCTAAAATAATATATAAGATGCGTGGTTACTATTGGGAAAGTTTGACTGCTGTGGGAAAGCAGGGATGTCCACTTGCCGTATGAAGCCACATTTCTGTGATTGTAACAAAACCAAGGGAAATAAGATG